TCTCTAACCCAAATTATGTGTTGGAGTACAAGTTATATTGCTGATGTGGATATTTTGTGCATCTAGCCTGCTCAGGCGGTGTTACAAAGTCGGTGAGCAATGGACAATTTGCAATTAGGTGATATGTCTACAACCATCACATATTGGATTATGTGTCTAAAGTGCATGGACAAATTGAGTATGTGCTATAGTATCAATAGTCTTGTTTTCTATAACAACGATATGTGTAGATTAAGTTGATACACTATCAATCACAGGGAGTCTTGTCTTCTTGGTGTCACTCTATCAGATGGCCCACTAGTACTAATTTTTGCCATTCTCTTGAACAATTCAAAGATTCCGTGATTATTATTTTTTGTTTATAAAGTTTTAATGAAGTAATGTATATTTTATTTTATTTGAATTTTACTTGAATAATAAAAAGCAAATATTTATATTTAACATGCATCTTGTTAACATTTATGAATTTATAAATGTGAAATTTTATTGATAAATTTGCATTTATTTATATTTAAATTTTGTATACGTAATATATAATTAATTGAAACAATTTAGATCATTTATTAAACACTTATAAGGTAATGAAAAGCCATTTTTACCCTCACACGATTTTGAAGAGAGAAAGGAGATGAAAACACTGTAGAGAAATCGACGACCCATACGGCCAAAAAACCAACAACCCAGACCGGAGATTGCCATTTATCTGAAGAAGGTGAGTTTTGGAACTTTTATATACATTAATTGAATAAATAAAGCATGTTGTATGTTTATTGAATAAATAAAACATGTTGTATGTTGATTTGTTGAATAATATTTGTAGAAATTGTTGTAGATCATTAAAATATGGATGAAATTGAGGACTTTGGCAAACTTTGGGAGCAGAAATCGTCAAAAATGGCAATCTCCGCCATTTGCAGCAATAGTCGTCGTCGTTTGGATCCATATCATCGGATTCCAGTCCATCTGGATCCAAACAATCAGGATTCCAGACGTTTGGTCGAGATGGCCCAGTTAACTAGGCGGCCCAGTTTCTGGGTCGTGTGGATTCCAGACGGCCCAGGCATCTGTAATCCAGTTGTTGACTGGGCCGTTTGGAATCCAGGCGGCCCAATCCTCTTGTTTTTTTCTAATTAGTTATTTAATTGTTTAATTAATATTTAACTATTTAATTCAACTGTTTATTTAACATTTAATTTTGAATGTTAAATAAATATTTTATTTAATTGTTTAATTAATTATTTTAACTGTTTATTTAACATTTAATTTTAATTTCTTTTCAAATTTTAATTATTTAATATTAATTATAGTTTAATTTTTTCTAGAATTTTTAATTATTTATTTAATAT